TATTTCATAATACATAATTTCACAACAGGACATGTTACCTTTATTATGTATCAATTCATATATATATATATATATATATATATATATATATATATTACATATACCAGGCCCATTTCTGGACCCTCAAATTTACTTATTTCTTTATTAATGTAACACTGATTGTAAATAATAGCACTGATTTAACTGACACAGATGTAATATTTAATATCAGTGGTTTCCTTACTAGTTGAAACAAGTGTTTTGGCAAAACCTCTGACAAAGTCACTATTGAAGCACAAGAAACACAGTATTTTTTTCTGAAATACATATCAAAAATCCCCTTTAGGACTTTTGTTACAGTTGTATTAACTTTTAAATAACTGGAATATAATTGATCATTTTTTACTGCATTTTTATAAAACAATTACCATGGCCGGTACTTATTCAACTCTGCAGCAGTTGTTTATTTTTTTAATGAGTTTATGTTACTAGTAATGTGCTGTGCAGAGGGACTCCCATTTGCTAAGTGGGGGTGCAGCAGTTCTTTGACATCACCTAGCAGAGCTTGGTGTGGTGTGCCTTCTGGTCTTTTACCAGAACACCCTGTGTCTGAGCCACACTTTAGGCTGGAATTAGTGATTAGGAAAGAGACTGTCTGTAGAAAGGAGACACGTACTGGGTGTAAACGAAAGGGAGTATATGAGTCAATGCAAGGCTGCATCATAAGAACCATCTTTGTCACTGTGTTTGAGTAGAACTTCTACCATTGAGGACCCAAAAACCCAATCTGCTATCTTGGTGTCACACAACAACACAACAAAATACAACAGAGACTGAACCTTCATCAGCCTTGGGGCCTCCTGAGTCTCAGCCTCTAAATCTGTACCTTAAAGAAAGGAGGAGTATTTTATGTTGTTTTTCTAGTTTATTGATGCTAGAAACAAAACTACCAAAGAAGATTTCGCTGAAACAATGAGTAAGACCCACTTTCGGTGCTTAATGTTCATCCTATCTTACCAGAGTGCATTGGCCCAAGTTCTATGCATCTACCACTTCAATTATTACATGAGATTCTTGATTTTGTCTTTCTTTGCAACTTATTTTCTTTGTTTATCTGATTTGAGGAAATAAATTTATTCAGATGTTTTCTTTTGTATGGCTCTTTAGGTCAGGACAAGCTAAGGATAAGTAATTTTAAAGACAGTTCTTTTTGTGATACTATTGGTTCATAGTTCTTCTGTAAAAGTCGCCATGCTGGAGATGTCTTTTATGATTACTTTATATATGGGTGAACATAGCTCAAGATATAATTTTACATAGCAAGATGAAGGAAAGAGGAGATACAAAGCACTTCAGCTTCAATTCACCTTGGACTTCCTCCTTTGTAACCTTTGTCAAAACTCATTTTACCCCGCCCCCACCCCATGCCCGTTACACAGGGCAGATAGAGTTATCTCCTTGTATGATGTAACTTGGACGAATATGTGGATTTAAGAGGAAGGCACTTCATTGTGTAAATTGCCTTTATTTTTCTTGGAAATTACCACACTTAGATTTTGGCTTCCCCTAAGACATTTTAATGTTAATATTTGTGTGGATTTTTTCCCCTTTAAATATTATATCAGGGGGGAGGCGGGCTTGTAGCTTTATTTCCCAGGAGCACCGGATGTCCGGGGAGAGGGAAGTGATCTTCTAAATGTTAATAAACTCTTACATTTAATGAGAAAATGGCCCACCGAGATAGCATTCTCAAAGAAGAAAGTAACCCTGTAAATCAAACCTCTGGAGGCCTAGGAGTTGGCAGGGAGGCACATGGCCCCCAGAGAGGACTTCTCCTAGGGTAAGAGAGAGTTTTCTCATGCTGGGTGAATCTGAGAACCTTCTAAGGGATGTCAGTCTCGAGTAATCTGTTCACGAACCAGACCTATCTTAGCATCTCCTGCCATTGACTTCCTGCAGGAACTCTGTCCATGCACCTGCGCATGTTGCCTGAACTTCCTTGACCATCACAGACGGGGGCAGGGAACATGTCACACTTCATTTCTATTGTGATCTTGGAATCTGGACCTGTGCCTATACGTGAAGCGTTTCTCCACACGTTTCTGGAGGATCCCTCTTTCTGAGACGATTGTGCTTTGCTTTGCAGTCATGTCCTCCAGCCCCACCGTTGGCTCGTCCAGCACGTCCTCCATCCTCCCGTTTTCCTCTTCAGTTTTCCCTGCTGTGAAACAGAAGAGTGCCTTCGCCCCTGTCATCAGGCCCCAAGGCTCCCCGTCCCCAGCTTGCTCCAGTGGTAACGGAAATGGATTCAGAGGTAAGCCAGGGGGCCACCTGGGGAATAGGTGAGACCCAGGTGACCGGGTGTGGTCACAGCGCTGCTCCATAGTAGTCTGGACGGTCACTCAACTAGAGAGAGAGCCGTTGGGGTTGTGCAGCCATCACAAAGCAAGGGTCAGGGTGGACAGGGACAGGTCAGGGAGCTGCAAGTCATGGAATTCCAGTGGAACAGCCATACCTGTGGTCCCGGAGTGTCTGGAGTCTGTGTGCTCGGTGGAAAGGTGTCTGACCTCCCATCCGATGCCACGCAGCCATATCATCTTCCCTAAGCGGCTCACCACCCGCGCTGCATTCCCAGGAGCAAGTTCTGAGAATTCTGGTTTAACATGCTAGCCAAATTGATAGCAGGTGCCTGATCGGGGGTGGGGTAGGGAAGGAAGAGAGAGAGAGAGAAGTCGTACTGTTTCTAGGAACAAAAATTAATATCACCCGTCAAAGGCACTTTCAAGCAGCGTCGGAAACTGTAATGTGACATGACATAACTCGAATGTGATGAGTACATGAGACTCGAATCACCCCATGGAGGACGGGAGGCAGCTCACGGCCAAAGAGCAAATTGGAGCCTGCTGAGCGCGATGGCTCCCTGGCATCCCACAGTGCTTTGCAGCTGACTTGCGCATCTTCACACGAACACAGGACAAGCAGGATTGGATAAAACCGTAGCGAGGCTGGGTTAACCCCTCCTGGAGCACGACAGCTGGGGATCCCCAAACATGGCGGGAGCTGTGCACCCCCGTGGTTTCAATAAGTGTGTGAGTTCCTGATTTTTCGGGGACGCGCGAGAGGGTCCTTGTCCACTTGTGTGTGAATCACGCCCTGAGGGCTGTGTGAGATTCCTCTGCGGCATCCTCTCCATGCTGCAAGAGCTGATGGAGATATGGACAAAGCCCATCAGGCGGAGGCGGCCCCCGCATTCTGGCAATTCTGAGTAAACTCAGCCGCAGGGGCTCCGTGCCACTCAACGTGTGGATAGTTGGAAACATCTGTATCCTTCACAGAGCTTTTCTTCTCCATATCCAGATGTCCATGCCGTAGAGAAACAGTGCGGCCTGTATCTAAGCGTCATCCCCCCCTTCCCGGCTCCCCCTCCCCGCCCCCGGCCCTGCACTGGGGGAGGGGGAGGCCCATCTCTCATCAAGTACTAGTGGCTTCCATCCCACGGGTAATCTACTTCCTCCCCTGAAAGCAAGCTGTGGCTGAGTACTCGCTGTGTCTCCCTTCCCCACACTGGTTCCATAGCAATGCCCCTCTTTCTACCTCCCTTGGCTCTGTTCACAGACTTTGAGCCTAGTGGGGAAACACAGGGTGAGAGACGAGGGTGAGCTTGGTTTTTCTCCATGTGGGCTCCGGGAGGGGACAGGAACACTGCCCTTGCCTGGTGACAATCGGTTTTACTGGAAAGAGAAGCAATGGCCTTTGAGCTCCCGTCAGCCTTCCCCTACCTCCTCTCTCGCACAGCACCGAATTCGGCGGTTCAGAGCTGCCCATTCCAGATCTGAATCTGATCTGGTCTGATCGCCCCAGGGAGACTCGCTGTGGGGCCTGCCTGGATTTGGGGCTACAGGGAGGCTGGGGCAGAGTTTTTCCTGGATCCGTGGCCTGCCACCTAACCCTGTCTTCTGTGGTCCAAGGCCCCTGGGTCATGGGGTGGGAAGGGGGACCCTCTCTGGGGTCCTCAGCTGAGCACATGGCCTGTCACCAGCAGCAAGGATGCTGGTTCTGGGGCAGTGGCTGAGCCGCAATCCTTGATCGTGTCTATCAAGGTGATGACTTAGCTGTATACAGGCACAAGCTCCAGGCTCTTGATTCTCTAGAATCACAGGAAGTCTCCAACTACTTTTGAATCCCATAATTCCCTTCAAGATTCCTTGTTGATGTGACCATTCAAAAAATAAATGCAAGGGAATCCTACAAGAGGAAGCAGACAGCCCTGTCAGCTTAGAGCAATTGCAGAGAGCCATGGAAATAGAAAGGGATGCATGGAGACATGCTGCGGGAGTCTAAGGAGAGTCCTAAAGAATATGACCGGCAGGATGATTCACTTTGTAGACGTCTGTTGGAACTCGAGTTCAGCTCTTGGCAGGCCACACGAGACTCTGCGAGCCTCAGTTTCCTCGTCTACCCCACAGGACAATCTGTAGCTATCCTCGAGGCCACTGTGGAAGGAACAGTGTGAGTGAAGATGGGTAGAGGCTATTGCCTCAAGACCAGCAAGGACAAACCACTTGCTGCTTGTCTCCATTTGGGACCATGTCAGCAGGGGCTCACTGTCCAGCTCCCTAAGGGGGCAGAAGCTACAGAGCAGGAGAAGAGCGAGCTGGCGTTTAATGCATGAGCACCTCCTGGGAGGGCAGGGCCTGGATACGCCCAGGGCACCGGCTTCCCAGGCAGGGGGACACCGAGAAACGTGGGCCCGAGGGTCCGGTGGATCCCAAGGTGAGGAAGGGTGCTTTCGTAGATGAGCTCTTAATTATCAGCAGAGGCATGTGCAACCAGCACTCGCTAAGATATGCTGTGAGCAACATACTGAACTGAGTTTCCTGCAACAGAGTCCCTCCATTGAGCCATGCTGCCATCCCCACTTTTAGTATTAAGTACCATGTCCAAGGCCATACAGCAAGTGTCTGATGATTTGAACCCAGACATTTGGACCTCTGAGCCTGGGTTCTGATAGCCCCCTGTCTTACCAGACTGTGCTAATGGAAGTCCTCTTGTTACCTTTCACCCTTCGCTACTATCTGCTTGCCACCTGGGCCAAAGGAAGGTTATTGCTTTTCTGGGAAATGCCCACGGTGCAAAGGGATTGTACGATTCAAATGTAGTTAAAGTCTCTCCGCTGCTACCCAGGAAACGATTAACTTCCTCTCTGGTGTCTGTCTGCTTCCGGTCTGCGGGCTTTGTTTCCTACAAGTGGAAACGTTGAAGTTACCCTGTGAGTAGAGTGCAACCCACCCAGTGCTGAAGGAGGAGGGATTGGGAAGAGCTGTGGGGGGGAGTCCATTGTCTTCTGGCATGGGATAGGTCTGAACACTTGAGCTTCTCTGTCCTCCGAGTGCTCCTTGGGCAAGCCTGACCTCCAGAAACCAGACATGGGTGGAGAAGTGTTGAATATAACAGACAGGGTGAAGTTCAGCATGTGAGTCAGAATATCCCCACCCCACCCCCCAAGCCCTGCTAGAGAGGCCTGTCTGCAGTGTTTTCTTGTCCCACCTCGGCCTCATTTATCAGGCATTTATAGTTGATGAGTATAGATTGTCAAGATAATATTATACACCGTGTGTCTGATTCATTTTCTAGCTCCCTCTAGGAAAGAGAAGAAAAAAAAAACCTCTTGCACTCTGGGATAATTACTAGAGTTGCTATATCTTCAAATCATCAGGGAGTGTCCAGAATTGAACTGCCTTTATTGAAAAGTTACATCGATTCAATATATAGTAATACAGGCAAAAATAATTAAGGCTTTGCTAGCTGTGTAAGACCTTAATCCAGATCTCGCAAACATTCAATAAAGGCTGTATGGGCAGGGAAATAGATGGTTGACGATTTTGCCCGAGAGGACTAGAGAAAGGGAGCAGTGGGGGGAAAGGAGGGGGAGGGAGGCAAAAGAGAAAAGAAGGAGGGGAAAAGAGAGAGAAAAAGATGAGTAAATTGGGGAAAATAAACAGAATTTTGGCTCCTTGCTTGCAAGTGCCCTTCATCAACATGCTAGAGTGACATTTGTCATTGCCGTGGTGCGGTGCAGACAAGAGAAATCAGAGAATCAGACCCAGACATGGCTAGAAGTTTTGGATTCAGAGCATGTCTGTTTTTTTTTTTGCCATTGTTCAAAATGTGAAAATTCTCTGGGTTCCTCCCTGACAGGGGAAAGGAATACATTTTGTCGTGTGATTTCCATATCTTCTCGGGCTGCTCTGCTGTCCACATCTTCTTGTCCAGATGGGAGGTAGCACTGGAGTGGGAGGAGGGGATGACTGACTCCCAGATTAACAATGAAATTAAGTTTTCTCTTCCCAGTGGATTGGCACTTGTAGATGATAGCATCACCTAGTAGTAATTCTAGCTACTCAGGAGGTTGAGATCTGAGGGTTGTAGTTTGAAGCCGGCCTGGGCAGAAATGTCCATGAGACTCTTATCGCCAATTTACCAGTCAAAAACCAGAAGTGCTGCTGTGGCTCAAGTGGTAGAGCACTAGCCTTGAGCACAAAGAGGTTCAGGGACAGTGCCCAGGCCCTGAATTCAGCCCAACAACCAACAAACCAACCAGCCAACAAAAAGGCTCAAAAAGGATAGAAAGCCTGATCTCTTATCAACGATATACCAGCCAATGGGCTCGACATCTGGAATTTCCTTTTCTGTTCCATATAAGGGACTGGGGATAGTATAATCTGGAAATTATTGTTAGTCCAATGATGAACAATTATAGGTGCATACGCTAGAATGTAGATGCTGCGTCTATATCTACCATGTGGTTGATATAACTCCTTACTAGAAAACAAAACAAAACTCATTCTCAGCCTGCAGCAGAATCTCCACAGCTGTGTGTCTGGGCCAGTGGCTTCTGTCTGTGAGCCCAAACCTGCCCCTCTCTCTGGACTGTCCCAGGCTCTCCTCTCCACACCCCCTGCCCTCCTCTCTGTGGTAGAAGTGCTGCCACACCAAGTCCCCCCAGTCTCATTCCCGTGTCACTGTTTGCCTTGCAGCCATGACCGGACTCGTCGTACCCCCGATGTGAAGCAGAGCGAGTCCTGCTTTCTCATAGCACAAAACTACTTATTCTGATGGACCAATAATGAGGAAAGCACTCTGAGCTCTTTGGGGGAGAGTTGCGCTCCCCTCCCCCCGCCCAAGTGGACGTGATGGACAGATCTGGGAAGGCAAAATCCGTCATCTTTCTTGGTCTCACATTTCTCCTGTAGCTTTGCCAATAGCTACACAAACTGACCCCTTTGGGGACCAGGACAAAAGATGTCATTGACATGGTCAGTGCTGAGAGCAGAAATGCAATGCTTTGTTATGAACATTATGGGGGGGAAAGAAAACCACCTTCCTGTGTTTGTAAAATATTTAAGAAAAAAATTGGCAAACAATTCATGCTTAATATTTTGGATACTATTTGTTTTTCTTTGTAGGAAAAAAGTTGAAAGTTTCTATTTTCTATGAAGCCTTTCAGATACCAATTTAGTTTATGCAGAAAAAAAAACATTGAACAAAACAGGGTACCAGCATGGAAGACTTTCTTAAAAAAAAAAAAAAGAAACCTGAATTGAATGATGAAATGTTGTATGTGTGTTTCCTTATAGTTTAATCTCTTAAAAAACAAAAAAGGGAAAATTTTAAAATGTTTTACAGTTATTTAAATAAATAAACGTGTAACTTATTGTAAGTAGCAGTAGAAATTAAGGCCTTTTTTTTCTTTAAAGAAGAGAGCCATTTCTCTTTCTGATGTAAAAAGGAAACGAATCAAACATGTAGTAACAAGTCTTAAAGGTGTGTGATTATAACTACAGTTACTTATTGGACTCCATCCTCAGCTTCACCTCCCTCTTTTCTATCATTTTTATTGACCCATGAGCAAAACTGTGGAACGTATGTGGATTCCTACAGGACTGTCTCCCTCCAAAAATAGACTCAGAGAATACACATAGACAGACACTCCAACCTATCACTCCACACCCAGCTTCCTCTGCCTTCAAATTAGTCTATAGACCCCTTTTCGTATTCACTCTTGGTGAGCAGTCTCTAAAAACTCAGCTCTTCCCTCAACAATGCAGACAAAGCCCCGCTTGTTCATTGATCTCAGGCTTTGAGCATCTGAGGAGAGAAATGTCCCACCTTTGAGAAGAGCCAAAAGCCACTGGACTTTGCTAACCACGGGCCCTCTTGCAATTCTTCCCTTCTCTCCATACAGAGGGGGGAAAAAAAACTTCAGAACTTCAAAAACCAGGCTGAGTACGATGAGATGATGCTATGTCTTCAACTCTTCAGATCAGTCTGAAAATGTCCAAGTCCTCTCCTCACTTTGCTAACTCTTCCCCGTCTCTGTGATTAAATTCTCTTTAAGGAAACAGTATGTATGTATTCCAAGTAACACGACTTCCAGACCAGAGTGGGACGGGTTGAGGAAGAGGATTGTTAGAACCCCAAGGCCTCCTGATGTTCAAAGACATGGAAATGGGGGTTCTAAGGAGGCTCAGAGATTAGGGGTGGCTGTGTTCTGAGCAGTGCAGTTACCCAGCCCATAGTCCTGTGACTAGTTCTTAGAGGTGAGACGTTGCAGTAGCTGCTGACAGCGGTTGGCTGGTTCCTGACATGCATCTGGACTTACTTGGGTCACCAGCCCGTCACCACGTTCCCCTGGGTCAGGACTAGCAGTACTAGAGCTTAGACACAGACTTAGCATCTGTGAGGGTCTGGATTGGGGTTCTAGCATTACAAGTTGATAAAAACAACTTGAGTGCATGCAAGCCATGTTTAGGTGGACCCTGTTGCTCCACTAGCTGCAAATCCCCAAACCTCAACTGTCTGATTTGCCTTTAGTTCACTCTGGGCTTAACAGTATGACCCATATGTTTTCTCTATGCACATGAGAATCTATGGTTTTAGAAACCTGGCATGCTTGTCACAACTGTTGACAGTCCTTCATCGTGAGGGCTGACAGCGCCAAAATACACAGAAATACATGAGAGAAAACGTTTCCCCAGCGAACAACCCAGTGGAAGGAAAGAATGTGTGGGGAGGGCGAACACCGCCATCCGAAATGATGGCAGAACAAAACTAAGCACGTTGAGATCTGGATTGGAGCCAATCCAACAGAAGGAAATGTTTATTTTTTTTCTTTAAAGTAGCATTGCTTTTAGAACCTGTGAATTTTTGCTCTTGCATGAAGATGAGTGCGGTACGATCTTCAGAAGGATTGTAGAAGTTCTTGGTAGCTTTACACCGAAAAAAAATTGTGTGTAACTAAATATCAGACGCCCTTGACAGTACAGCTAGAACCTTGGCAGCAACAGATCTATTTAATTGTACAAAATGTGTGTAAGGATTACTTTTAGTGTACTAATAAATTAAAAACAAAGTGACTCTGTTCTCTCTAGTCATTGCTTATGAATTCTTCGGTCCCAGGTTTATAAATGGTGCCACTTGGAATACGAATACTTCTACTAGGTGACTACAAAATTTGATCTTTGTAAGAGGAGCTGTGTAAGAGTTTTCATTTAAAAGGATAATTTACTCCATTATTTCTCTCTCTCTTTCTCTCTCTCTTTGGGTTATAGCATCGAAATTCTTCCCAGTTTTTCTTTGCACATTTCAAGTCAATATGCATGGTTTAAAAACCATTATCTTTCTCTACCTTTTGTATAGTAAAGTCTCATTTTGAAACTGTATAGTTTCATTTTTGTTTTGCTTTGTCAGTTAAATCCAGTATAAAGTTGCTATGCACAGAGCTTTTTGTAAAGACGGCTTTTTTTGTTTACTGTTTTTAATGGTCTTACTTAATATGAAAGAATATCTTGTTTGTAAAATGAATATGTCTACTTCAGTTTTAAACTTTAAATTATCCTAACAAAAAATAAAAATTTTTGTACTGTAAAAATGATCTTTGCTTTTTTTTTTATTAATTTAAGTAGAAGAAATGTAGTTTGGGATTTGCTCTTGCTGGTGTAGGTTTTCTCATAACTGCTGGTTTCTGAGTTTTCCTCTGGTTGAGAAAAACATACAGCTTTTACTTATAAGGGGCATATGCCAAGATACTTACCTGGAGGAGATGGCAGGTCAATGTTCTGTGCATATTTTTTATCTATATCTCCAGCTGTTCAAATTCCTTCATATTCCTCCCCTGAATTAAAAAAAAGGACTCTATTTACTTAGTTGATTTTGGATTCATGGTTTTTTCCCCCTCTTCTTTGATACTAGAGAGTGAACTCATGCTCCCAATCATTGCTCCTTTTGGATTATTTTTCAGGCGGGGTCTTGTGCCTTTGCCTGGGTGAGCTTCTAACTGTGATTCTCCTACTTCTGCCTCTCAAATAGATATGCATTACCACCCCTAGTTTGTTGGTTGAGCTAGGGTCTCACTTTTTCCCACGTTGGCACTACAGTTGAACCCCACTCTACCTGGTCTGGACGCATGGAATTCACAAGGTCGCTGGGGAGTCAGCTGTGTGTGTATGTTACCAGGGGAGCTGAACCCGAGGCATCCCTTGTGCTCGGTAGGCATTCCATGGAAGTTTCTTCACCTTGACCCATGCCTCCAGCCCCTAACTGACATTGTCAACCAGACTGCTCAGAATCCAGCAGCGAGAGTACAGGTTATCTTCAAACCACAGAACTTGTTTCCTTAAGTGAGTGGCTGAGGTGTGTTTCTCAATGGTAAACTGGGGAAGCCGTGGACGTTTGCTTCTCTGAAGCTCTTCTGGCCCTTCCTCTGCCGGAAGACCCTAGCTGCTCTCTGAAGATGTGAGTGCTCCCATCCGCCTTCGGGAACTAAGCTCTGCTCATGTCCTTGTCATCATTTGCATTTGTTTCTCTGTTGGTTATCTGGCTCCTCTTCCAATGCAAGGTTCCTAAGTGCGGGGACTTGAATGGGTTCAGCACTGAATGTGGAGCCCCGCGTCCAGTGCTGCGGCCTTGCAGAGCTTGTGGAAGGGAGAAGGATCTGGCTCCATTTTCACCCTCAGATGCAGCTTAGCTCTGCCCTGCCTGGTGGAGGTGGAGGAGAAGAAACTGACGGAACACGAGTGACAGGAAATGGTGTTGCTTTGAGAATTACTTCTTAGGGATAGTCTTGGCCATCAGCCAGTCGGACAGCATCGTGAAGTGTGTCTCTAATATCATGTGTCTGGCTCTTGATCACATATTGGGGACAAAGTGGGTGGGGGCTGAGGAAGAAGTGGCCTCTGGCTGGCAGTTTGTCGGGCAGGTTGCTTTGCCCCATTGACCTTGGAGTTCAGGGCATCTGAGTGCTCTTGCTCAGATGTAATTCCAGAGCCAGAATTGGAGCCTTTCAAGGAGTGCGTATTCTGTGCCTATTCCAGGGAACACATTTATCTTGTTAACCACACACTTGAATTTCAGTGAGTTTGTAGTGTGTGCTCCAGGCTGCAAGAGGTTCAGAGTGGCAATGGGGCATGGGCATGAACAGGCTGAGGGGCAAGTTTAGTGGTAGAGCACAATGATCCAGAGGACCCCGGTTCAATCCCTGGCACTGGAAAAAGGGAAAAAAAGAATTAGGTGGAGATATAGTCTCAAACAAAGTTGTCCATTATTTCAAGGGGTTTCTACCTTCTCCATAGGAATCGACTGCAGCTAACAGGAAGCTTATAAAAAAAGCCTCAGTGTACGGGGCCCTTGTTCACGAATGACTTCCATTCGGATTGATCAGTACCTATGTTGCTCATTGTTAAAATTGCAATCACCCCTGGGCTATTTCAGCCCCCCAGACAGAGATGTCTCATTTCTGAAGTAAGGCTGGGCCTAGAGGTGGCAAGTAGAGGAAAGATTCCAGAGACTCCTGTGCAATTTGATGGATTTGTTGACTAGCGAGCTGTGGAAATGAGCAGAATGGGAACCGAGGATGCTGCTGAGATTGCTTCTTAGAGGACAGGTTTTGGTGATAACACTAGCCCACACGGGGAACACAAAGGGGACCATGTTGAGGGACAGAAAAAGGACGATTTTTTTTCCTTAGTGAAGGTTGGAAAGACCACTTCGGAGAAAGCCTTCTTTGGGACATGAGGCGGTGGCAGCGGGCAGCAGAGCTGGCTAGTGTCTCTCCCACCTGCTGCAAGGGATGATTTGAAATTGAGGAACAATCACTTTCATTGCTCCCTTCCAGTCTTGATTTTTTCCATCAGCTTATTCAAGAAGAACTAGGGAGAATTCTATTCCTACAATTATATATACAAAATGATTATTTCTATTCTAATAGATGGCTGACTAAAATTTCTGGGGTTTTAGAAATTAGAAACCTAGCCTTGAGAGTGAGGGAAACACAATAAATAATTATGCCTGGAACTAATAATGATGCCCATGATTAACCCAGGGCCTAGCCACTTACAAGTGGCTTAGCTGTTTTCTGACTGCCCGAAGTAGTCTCTCCAATTTGTAGGCTGGTGACCTCACCGCGATGTGTCCTTTGTGCCAGGGGTAGAAGTGTATAGATGTCCTTCCTTATCAATGCATAGACTCAAGCCTCCCTTTGTGTCTGATGACTTCGACAGTAGCATGTGACATAGATATGTGTGCTGTCCCTTCATTGGCGTTCTTCCTGCCAGGAGTACGGTTCTGCACGGGCTCTCTCCTCCCCATCGTTTATGG